ACACAGTGGACGAGAACCCCAACATTCCGCTGCCCTCTCCCAATCTAGTAACAATCGCATCAACGCGAGCCTCTGAGCAGCCTCGATGGATTGACTGTCGATCTATAGCTTGTTGACCATCGCGTCAGCTGAAGTACATATGGTCGTTCTTCTTCTTGGACTGAACCTCCATGATACCGCCGAAGAAGTGCTCGTGATCGAGTACAGATGCGCCTTCGCGCAGCGCAATCATACCAGCCTGCGGGTCCATTCAAGCCTCGATCAGCAAGCAGAAAGCCAAGCCAGCCGCCCGGCGCTCTCTCTCTCTCTCTCCCTCTCTTCCTCTTCTGACTCACCTCTACACACACAGCTTTCAGCTGCGCACCATTCATCTCATCGCAGGATCTTGCCAACTCCTCGAAATTGACATTGGGACCAACCGCCATCTTTCTACTGTGGATCTCCATGATGCGAGCTCTTGCTTCCTCGTTCGGCAGAGGGAATTCGATCTTTCTGTCCAAGCGTCCAGAACGCAGCAATGCAGGGTCCAGAATGTCAATTCGATTGGTGGCAGCAATGACCTTGATGCGGCTGTCTGAGCTGAAGCCGTCCAGCTGATTGAGCAACTCGAGCATGGTTCGCTGCACTTCTCGATCGCCGGATTTGTCGCTGTCAAAACGCTTTGTACCGATGGCATCCAGCTCGTCGATGAAGATGATCGCTGGCGACTTTTCTTTGGCAAGCTCGAATGCATCCCGCACCAGCTTCGCTCCGTCACCGATAAACATCTGTACAAGCGATGGTCCAGCCAGCTTCAGGTAGCACGCGTTTGTTTGAGCTGCACATGCTCTCGCGAGAAGCGTCTTTCCAGTACCTGTGCCAGAAACCTTTGAGTCAGCGGACGTGTAAAACGAATCGCCTTGTTCGATGACTCCACTCACCAGGGGGCCCGTACATGAGAGCACCCTTTGGTGGCCTGATGCCCAAGTTCTTGAACTTTTCCTCTTGCTGCATCGGAAGCACGATGGCTTCCACCAATTCCTCGATCTGTTTGTCAAGACCACCTGCAAGGTGGAAACGGGAACGGAGGGACGGTCGGTCGCTGAGTAAGCACTGTCATACAAGAACGTCGTCACGACCGCCGGTTCACTACCACCCCACTAAACGGCTGCGGTCATGGCACTTACCAATGTCGGTATACGTCTCTGTCGGTCTTTCGTCCACCTCCATAGCCTTGACTCTCGAATCGTACTCTGCAGGCAGCTTATCCAAAATTAAGTAGCTATCTTTGTTGACGCCGATCAGGTCGCCAGGCTTGAGGCTTTCTGATGGGACCAGGCCGATCAAGGGTAAAAAGATGGTCTGTCTAGTGGAGGTCTTGATGACTGCGCATTTACCCTTCCTTTTCGAATCCAGATCAACATTTGCTCCCTCCTCCGAATCCTCGTCGATGTCAGGATCGATGTCCAAGATCTCTACGACATTACCGACCAAATAGGGGAGCACCTTGTTCTGTTTGATCTTGTCATCGTTGTCCTTGATCTTTTCCCTCATCGTGCCTTGTTCGTGACTCAATCGCATGTGCTCGGATCGCATGACTTTGATGTCATTCTCCAGAAGCCTTGTGCGCGTGGATATCTCTTCTGCTGTGGCGTTGAGGATATCGTCGGGCAGAGGCGGAGAGCTGGGTCTCTCTTCCATCTTTACATCTCCGTCAGTACCTGCATTGTTGCTG